TGCCTGCACCATGACTGCTTTCAATTCTGCTGAAGAACTAGTTTGCTCTTTCTCAGGCTAAATATCCCTTTTTTTTCTCTTTTCTTCCCTTTTTGCCTTTATTTCTTTTCTTTTCCTTTTAGGTTCTCAATTTTTCTTTTTTATCTTCTACCTCATTGTTCCTCTTCTCTGTGGACCCCTCTGCTGAGATCAGATTTCTTTTGTTTTTGTCAGTGTCATTTTCACTTTCTAAAACTCATTATTTCTTTTGATGACCAGCATTCATACTTCTAATAATTCAGATATAAAGAAAGGCAGTATGAAAAGAGAATAACTAATAACTTCCCCTGTTAATGTTTCAGTCTGCAACTGGAGCTGACATCCTCAGGAGGACATGGTAACAAGTTTTGGAGAAACTTGTGAGGGACCTGCCATGGAAATTAACAGGAGAGACCCTAGTCACAAAGAAGGAAAAGCAAATCCTTCCCTGCGCTGGTGACAATCCCTTAACTCATTTGCGTTTTTTTTCTCAGAAGCATGACAGAAAAAGTCTATGGATGGGAAAAGGGGACGCAAGGATTGATGTTCAAATATCATGAAAATGGACCAGATCCTCATCTGGCATAAATCAATGCAGGCCCACAGGAATCAATGCAGCGACGCCAATTTACACCAGATGAAGGCCTGGCTCAATAAATCCCTTGTGCTCTGGATAGAGGGGTGAGTGGGGCGGGGGATTGCTCTATGAATTAGTGTCTGGTCAAATAGCAGCGAAATAGGAACATATCTCCTGCTTGTTGCAGAGGACTAGGTGTGGACAAAGTTTCCTTTGAAGCAAAAGCATAACCCTAGAGATTCCTTGCACACCTTGCTCCTGCTCCTGTGAGGGACATGATGTCCAAAGTAGCAACTCCAGTGCTTGTCCAAAAGTTCAAAGGAGATGAAGGCATTGATTCCACATTATATTAACAAATAGCTGTTTAAATGTAAAAGAAAGAACCCTCATATAAGGGTTTTGCCCTGAAAACCTCATCCAGAATGTCCTGAGCTGGTGCTCAGTGTGTGGTACCTCTTCTTCCAGTCTTTACCTACAGCTTTCCAGTATTTGAGCATTAATGATGATTAAATGAAATACTATATATGTTTCTTCACATTTGGTGTCTCTTTTATGTTTAAAATAATGGTTTGGGGCTTGCTTCTGGTTTCGAGCTATGTGATGTGAAGAGTGTGACAACTCTGAGGTGTTGCTGAAAGACAAATTAATGAGAACATGAGAGACGTTCCACTTTCTTTTCACTGGTGCTTTCCTAATATTTAGTCTTCCTCACTTTCCGTTCCCAATTGCGATACAGTTAAGAGGGAAGTGAGAAACAGGAAGAAAAAAATCCTGAAAGAAAACAAACTGAATGAAAGCACAGATAATTTTTTGTTTGTTTGTTTGTATTTGAGAAATGAAAGTCTCAATTAAAAATATCACAGAAAAAACCTCAAACTGTTCAAATCAAAGGTTGGATGAACAGGAACTTTTGTTTGGTTCTCAATGTTCTGGGTTGACCTCTGGTTTCTGAGAGCAAAATGGCTTAAAAGAAAACTGCAAGTAACTTTCAGATATTTTCATTGATGTCATGGAATATTGGAACTCTCTTTTATAATTTACTGGAAAGTTTTTTGTCTGTGTGCTCTTTTTTTTTTTTCCCTTTTTTTTTCCTCTTAGTTTCTAATATACTTTGAATTTCAGTATAGTAGAAGAAATACATTGCACATCAGCCAAAACTAAATACCAGCTGGTTGTCAGAAAGTAACACAGAGGCAGTTACTTTCTCAGTGACAAAAGTAAGCAATTTCTCACTTAACATAACAAAGAAGGCAAAAGAAGCTATTGGATCTAAGGACAGAAGTATGAAATGCAATATACATAAAATGGCAAAATTACGTTCAGACTCCAAATGAAAAGTTTCTGTTTCTGTTTATCTCTGGAAAACCCATGAGGAGAATAAAACAGGCAATGCTTCCATTTGTTTTGTTGATAAAACTTGAAAAATTAGCAAGATCCAAGACTGAACAGTTCCAAACCATCAAAGCAGGGAAATTCTGTCACAATAAGACCAGTACAGCAAACAAACACAAACAAACATGTTTAGCAGGTCATGAGGATTTTTATCAATTTGATTAAGAAAACAACAAAGAAAAGTAAGGCCCTTAGTGGCCAAGAAGGTCCTCTCCAATTTATGCCTCTAATAAATAAAAATCTGTTTTTTAAAGCAGTTTGGGTTAAATCTTTCAGGGTTTGTTGCTAACTGGAAAACTCAGAAAGGCCTACCATGGATGAGAATTTTACCATGTAAATGCTGAAGCCTGGTTTTGCTTCAAAGCTGTCTCAGGGATGAGAGCTCAGCCTGTCCACACACACTATCTCTCTGCAAAATACTGAACCACACTATAGACAGAAGCCCATATATCTATCCTCTACAAAGACATGAAGATCATAATTTCTCTCAGTGAAAAAAATCACAAGGAAAGAAACAGAATGGGTCTAAATCTTTCTTAACTCCAAAGAGAATAGGAAATAAGATGTTAATGTTTTTCTGTTCATTGATTTGAACATATGCACAAGCTTTACTTCTGAACACAGAAGGACTTGAGTCACAGAAAACCACCTTTGATAGTTCTTCTCTTTAGCCAGGGCATGGTTGCATTCTTTCTCCCTCTCTTCTGCTTTTGTGTCCTTTTTTTTTTTTTCCTTAGCAATTTATCCAGGCCTTTTCTAGCTGTCTGGCCCTATTCTATTACTGCTATTTCTGCTTCTGCCCCTTCAACCTTTTATTCCCACCCCTTCTCTGCACAGCTGCAGACGAATTCAGTCTCACTCCTTCCCCACCACTGCTGTATTCTGATTCAAACCACTGTGAACTTTTCCACCCACATAGTCCAGACCTCTGATTTATTTTGTGCGTGACCTGTTGTTGTTCCCATTGTTTCAGCTGCTTCTAAGCAAAAGGACATTTAATTGTTCTCTCGTTAGCTCCAAGAGGAGGTGGCTGCTAGTCACACCCACTTCCTTGAGGTTCCCCGCCCCCCAATGAAGCTATTTGGTTATTTTCTTCAAATTAAAAATGTAAGAGAACAATAGGCTAAATTTATTTGGGAAGATGTAACTCCACAGAGGGGATAAAATATCAAGATTTAAAAAAAAGGAGAAAAAAAGTGAGAGAAAGTGACTACTGAATAGGAACAAAAATGTAAAGATAAATGCAGATTTTAAGTAACAAAAATGTTCTAAAAGGTCCCCAAGGAGAGATGTAGGACTTTATTCAGAAAAAGGCAGTCTTATCAGGGGTTACAATATATAAATATTGAAAAGGTCCCTAACAGGTTAGCCACACTGCTAGATGTCAGAGCTTTCTTTTCAAGATCCAACTTCCAGCAAATTGACTGTGAAAGGAAGGCAGAAAAAAAGAAGAAAGAGAAAGAAAGGAAGGAGAACTGCTTGACAGACGGCCTTCAAACCCCTTTTTTTTCCCCTTCTTCATTCAGCCATACTGCATATAAATGCACTTAAACATCTCTGAAATTCCTTGCTCATACAACCCCTTACAACTTCTGTCTTGGACTATGATTTTCTCAGAAACTTGCCTCTTTTACTTCTGCAGGAGAGAAAAAAAATTATTCTCCCTGCCAATAACACCTCTGCGAAATGTCCTCAAAGGACAGCATTTCTTGCACCTATGCTTTTCCTCCACAAGCTGCCATCTGCTGTAATGCATCTCTATTTTAAGCTTTAGAGTCACGTGACTTAAATCCACATAAGTGTTGATTGTACATGATTGCCTTTATTGATTCTTTCTGGGACACAGCTTACCTGTACCCAACTTCACATATAGTTTTAGTCTGGACTTTTCTTTCACTCTTTCTTGAACACTTTCTTTTCCCATTCTTCCATTTTTTATGACTGTTCTTTTTACTGTGTCAGTGCCTGGGAATTTCAAGCAGTTAGAAAAGTTCATATTAGACTCCAAGAGCAACAAGTGCTTCTGCAGGAGAGTAAAGAATACCTCTATCTTTCTCTGAAGGGCACCTTACATTGTAATAACAGCCAGTAAATCCAACAAATATAAGCAGCTTGAGTAATCTAAAATTAGAGGGGAAAATAGAAATTATTCTAGTGAGGAAAAGAGAATATATTAAAGGATAGTTTGAAACAAGTATTGCTGTGCTTCTTGGTGGGATTAAGTAATACTGATAGCCCCTTTTTCTTCAGATCATTAGATTCGAGTAGCAAGTAGATATTGACGCTATTTCTAACTCTCTTTTACCAGACTACTTCCAGGATAAGGGGTCTTTTGGCTCTCTCTCATGGTACTTAATTGAGGTATTTAGATGGATGGTTTGGGGCTTTTCTCTAGTTTCTTTTTCTGATCATTGGAATTTACCAACAACTCAGTTATTTCTTTGGTTTGCTTCTGTCCTTCCGTTTCTCTAGCAAATTCTGGGGTGATACTGCTTTCAACAGCAGTGTTATTTTGGGTACTCCTATGCAAGTCTGAATTGTAATATATAATCTCATGTTCAGTTTCCTTCAAACTGTCTTAAAATTAAAAACTGACTAGTGCTTTCTCGACTGTTTACAATTTACATCCTTTTTCCATGCAGGGGTCGAACAGGTATCCCACATGCCAGAGCAGTCCTGATCAAATCAGTGTGTAGCTCATAGGCTTAGAATTAGGCACCTGGTTACACTGCCTGCCTAGTGAGCAGCTGAGTGAGTGAAATGTCTTATGAACACTCTGAGAAGAAATCTCCAGATTTATCTCCAAAAAACAGTTGCTGATGCTTAAATGATATAATTTCCCTGTATTCAGTCAGGAGGGACTGTAACTCCTCTTGAGTACGATTTGATTTTAGAAAGTAAATAAGCACTTGAGAGGAAAGATCCAGAATTTTCTCTGCTTTTATTTGATACTATTTTGTTCCTTTTCTTTTTTTTTTTTTTTTTCCTTTCTTCTTTAAAAAGTGGACTTGAGCTCAGGTCATTTGCAAGACTTTTGGATACAGATCAGCAACTATACACAGGGAGTATGAATCTTGAATCTTCCATTTCACACTCGGCCTGAACAGGGTAATAGCTTGAGGTGCTGTCAGGACCTTCATCTGCAAGAAATGATGAGAGTAGCAAACTTTCTGTGATTACACAGCTGGGAAACAGGCCATAGGATCTTTGGATGACTGAACCTGGAAGAACTAAAAAAGCATTTGATTTTTAGTGGTTTTTACATGTGTGCACACTGGAGCTGATAAATTAAAGGAAGAAGGACTCTGTACACCTTCTCTGGACAGGAGAGAGATACAAAGATAAAGTACAGGGTGGAAATTCAGCTGATTAGGTGTGTGATATTGCTCTGTGCTGCTTAGTAGTCTTGTTTGAGGATGGGGTAATCAGTGACCCTAGTTGTGGTTGTGTTTGGACGGGGAGAGGGAAAGAAAAGGGAGTGCTGAGGACACGTGGCTCCCAGATTTATGAGAAAAATTATATACTTGAGAGGTGGTCAGAAGCTGGGAGAAACCATGTTTCAGATTCCCACTGTCTGGAAATTCCCTTAAAAATCATTCAAGTCTGTATATTTTGTCTTTTATACCAAAGTATTTGGTAGAAATTTTTGCTCACTGTTTCCCTATGGATTAGATTTAAAGAAAATCAAATAGATCCTTTGGAGTTTAATGCAGAAGGCTAGTAATGGACAGAGCTCAAGCTTATTCTGCCCAGAAAGACGCTTTTTCCCCAGATTTTTTGAGCCAACACTACTGAAATATATTTAGTATGTAGGTAGAATGCAATCATACATCAAAACCATCTAAAGAGGAAAAAAAAGGAGGCTATTTTAAGGAATATTCAGTTCAACGTGTCTTCTGCAGTAACTAGAAATAGGATTTTTATTTTATCTTTAAAGTGGGAGAGGCATTAACATTTAAGCAAGTTGATTTCAAGAGGGGCCCCTGAATCACATGTCCTTAGCTCATCATTACAGATGAAGAATGGGCTTGCAGAAAGCAGTCTCGGATACCAGGCCCAGCAGAGTGCTTGTGAGCTAATTCATTATGGGTGGCTTTTCCTTTTTTTTTTTCCCTTTCGTTATAATTTAGAAGAATGCAATTAAAACTGAACTTGATAATTAATTCTGAACCGGTGAGAACCAGTTCCAGAGATTATGACTATAATGCTATGTAGCCATTGATATAAATATTCATGAGCTTTCATTGTTTTATGCTTTTTTATGAAGCACACAGCTTATCTGAAGAAGTAAAATTAAAGTACTATTATTTAACATTACAGTGTAAATAAGAGTCAATAGAGGGAGACAAAAATATATTCACAGTAAAATGTAACATACATATTCTATAAATATGTTTATGGATATTTGTGCATTTAAATGTGTGTGCTATATGCTGTATTATGTACTTTTCTAAATTATGTGCAGACTTTGGGGGTCAGAAGTAGATGATCTTTAAGGTCCCTTCTAATCCAAACCATTCTATGATTCTGTGATTATATAGTTAGATTATTACATGCTCTTTTACAAGCATATGCAGTCACAACACATGAAACTGTTGCACTCAAAAGCATATGTGCACATATTCCCAGAATCTCCATTATCCATAAATATGACAGAGGGTTAAAAGAGACTAAACAAGTTTGGATCTCAATCTGGCACTACCTGGTGACTGAAATTCATAGCAATTGACTGATTCTACCAACAGAAATCAGTCAATATATGAAACTAACCATGTGCAGCTGATGACACAGTAGGAAAATGGCCTGTCTTATTCCATTTTCAGCTCAAGGTGTTTGTCATAGCTGCCTGCAGAGCAAAATCCCTTTTAAACACGGATGTTTCAAAAATCCCAGAAAAACAAAAATATGCTGACAGAGTGCCTAAAGGAAACAATACAGCTAGAGGAAAACTCAATACCTGGCTGGATTGAAAGAGACAAGGAAGTAACAGAAACGAAAAAGGAAAATAATCTGCAAAGAAGTTCAACATTCAGTATATTGTTTGCGGTTTTTTTTTTTCTTTTTTAATTAAACTAGAGATACAGTGGCTTAAACAGAAGTGCTACATGTAATGTTGGATACCTGGGGAAGCTGGCTGTAGCTCAGGCCCTCCAGTCAGCGAACATGATATTCAAATTGGAACAAGATTTAAATCTCCTGCACTGGTATGCTCAGTTCATTTATTGTGAGGCACTGAAAAGTCAAATTCAGTATTATGTGATTAAGCTACATCTGTCTCAGCACAAGCAGTAACCATATTTCTTTAAGTTCAGCAGGTGTTTTGCAAAGAATCTAAAGGATTTTGCACAAAATTAGTGCCTATAATAAAGCGCCAGTGATGAAGAGACAGCTCTTTATATCACTGATATATTATAGTTTTGTTCTAATAAATGTCATTGCCAAATATTTCAAAACCTAAAACAGGTTTGCTGACTGAACTGTTTTGCAAGCATATTTGCTATGCCTTATTGCAAAGATGTTCTTTTATAGACATACAGTTTAGAAATTTTATTTGACACTGCTGACTACTAAATTAGCAGCTTTTCAACTTTGCCAGACTCGTGCAACACAATCGAGATAAAAGGTAAAACGTGTAACTTCTGCATTAATTCTTGTTGGTAGTGTCATAAGATTCCTCAAGATGTGTTAATTGAGCCTGGGGTATGTGAAAAAAATCATAAAGCCCCGCTCCCACCTTTAGATCTTCTCTCTACCCTTCCTCTCACTCTGACTTTGTCTGTTCAGTCTGAACTAAGTTGTTGTTATGATAGTGTTTCGAAACATGAACACAGTCTGAGTATGGTGTGGTTTGCACTGAGACATGGGTCCCCACAAAGAAAACAAGTACGTGGAATACTCTGCTTCTTGTGAGGGTGCTTGAGAGAAAAGAAATTACCTTTCCAACTTTCTGGTTCTCATTTCTTGCACTTACTGATGGGGAGTGACTTCAGGTTATGATTATAAGTGTGAATGATTTCCTAATGCATGAGGGTCAAGGAGAAAATCCTGTTGAACTCCCAGACAAACAAAGCATCCAGAGAAGTCTGAAAAAGTTTTGAGGTACAGAATTCAGCAGTGATTTGTCTTTAAAGTCAGATGTGTAATATGAGTAAATATTTTTTCATTATTGATTTTTATATAGAAATCAAAAATCTCTTAAAGCACAATTTCCAATGAGCTTTGTTGATCCTTTCATTAAAAGAAAGGAATTAGTAAACAAAAGGAAAGAAAATTCTTAAATTTTATAAAAGTATAAAGTGTTGGGAAGAACAAGTAAATGTTATGTTTTCCCTCAGATTTTCTTCTGGTTGTCTATTTCCTCCTTGGAATCCTGAAGCTAAATGTTATGACAGTTTTTTTCAGTCATTTGCTGTTTTCCAGTAACATCCAAAAGCCCCAAAAATACTGGAACTGGGTGATAATGAGTGAAAAACTACAATAATAAAACATTAAGGTGGGGGTTCTGATTTCATCAAGTGCCTACCCAGGAAAGATCTGAGGAGATCACTTAGATTTCTGAAAATCCATCTTGAAAATTAGCTACTTGTTTTTGTTTGTTTCGGGTTTTTATGAGGCAGGTGGATGTAGGGAGCTTCTTTGACTCTTATTTGTTTCCTAAAAAGTGCTGAGAGTAATCAAATCAAGCCCAGCAGACTCAAGAAGATGGTCATGTTCATTCTATAGCTTTTAATTTCATTTGGCATACAGACATAATTTAGCAAGTTGTCCAATCTTTTATTTGAGCTGTAAGACAACAGCAAAATATTTGTCATATCTTGGAGAGAAATGTAATTTGCAAACAAAAAAAAAAAAATAAAATTGAAACTGAATCTCAAAAATCTGCAGTTTTGTATTAAAATATGCTTCAAACATTTTCTTGAGTCTTGCTTAATTAATTTTTAATTTGCTGTCTGAACAATTGCATATAAAGACCCAGATTCCACTGACATAACATCAAATATCTACAATATATACAATTATTTTTGGTTCTTCCCACTATCACTAGAGAGACATAAATGCTTCCCAGTTCCTGGGTGAGCCAGTCCACCCTTGAGAGGCATTTTTTTCTTTTCATTGATTATGGAGGCAGCCTACTGTGGCTGGACTTCTAACTTTGGCATCTGTTAGGTTCCCATAGCTAGCTAGGATGAATCCAAGCCAAAATCAATAGCACTAGCACTATCTATGTCAGACTTCTTGGAAGAAAAAAGTCCCAGTCTCTCCCTCTCTCCTCTGACAGCCACACAACTGGGAGCCTTCCTTCAGTGTGCACTTTCTCTGGAGCACTCCAGCTCTTCTGTGTGGAGAATGCCGAAAACAAGGAGAAAATGCAGAGTGTAGCCCCCAAAATAACCTCTACAGCATGTCCCTGGAATGCAGCTCGCTCTGCAAAGACCCTTTCTGGATCAGACAGACCAGCTCTGCAATGAATGCTGACTGATGGACAAGACTAAGAAAGTCTTGTGTACGCTTTACAGTGTTGTTGTGAATGGATGACTGGAATTTAATTTCAAATTAATCTACCTGCTGTGACCCCAAACTACTGCACAAGAAGTTTCTTGAATACTCACTTGGATCTCAGGGTTTTGTTAAAACCTATAAAAATGAACATCAGAAAATCTTGTATTTGGTGGTGTTTTTCTTTTAAGAACAGCAATAAGCAAGGTCAAGTAGAATGTCAAATGAAGCTGGATTTAAGGTCTGTTTTCAGAAATCTCTATCTTTACAAAATACTTTAATCACATTTTCAAATACACTTTTGAAAATGATAAAATTTTCACTCAGAACATACACTTATGGAATGTCAAAATAGTTTAATAATTAAAAAAAAAGAAGGCTATTAAGCATTTTGTCTATTATGAGGTAAGTCTTTTCTGTTTTAGCTTTGCAATAACATTTTCAGTGAACTGCACTTTCTAGTAGGAAAAAAAAAAGTAAAACACAATGAAACAAAAAGTTAAAGATGTTACCATCCTTTCCACCCACTAATTTTTTTTTTTTTTTAAATTTTAATAGAAAGTCAGAATAGTTTTTGAGTTTCCTGTAGGAAAGAACTCCCCATTTGTAGTTAGTACTCTGACAAGAAACATCCTGAAATATGAAAAATGAAGCTATAAAAAATAGAAAATGTATTAGAATTAATGTTTGTGCCAATGATGTGAAAAAAAGAATATATGAATCTCATGATTTCCACACCTGTTCATAATGCAATGTGTCAGGGAAACATCAGATAAGTAGATGATTTTTCTCTCTGTAAGGCAAAAGTTTGCAGTTTAGCTGAATCTTTCACCCTGTTTTCAGTAACATACTTTAGGAAATATGTCCACCATCTGTAGAGATTTTGGAAGAAGAAATTATTGGAGAGCTTAGAAATATGTCTTTGGGGTGCGATAACACTGTCAAGTCCTACAAAAGTTGGAAATAATCCCTTCTTCCTGTTATGACAGACAGAACAAGAAGTTGCTCATTTAAATTGCTGCAAGGGAGATATCAGCTACGAGATAATAAACTTTTCCAATGGTGAGGCTAGTCAGGGGCCAGAATACAAATTCATTACAATATGGTGGGGTTTCCAACTGAAAAACTTTCTGAATAGTTTAGAAAATTGTTAAAACAATGGAGATGGTGTCAGATTTTGCAAATGCCTGAACCCTAGAGTGAGTCTGTCTGAATGCTGAAGACCTCTTTGAGCCATAATCTTCTGTGATCCTGTGAAGAACCATTTGGGGATACAGGAATAAAGGTGAGCATTAAAAATTAGAATTCCATTTCCAGATTTTCCCGAATTTTGTATGTCCTTCAGTTATCTTTCAACTCTTCATACCTCATCCTCATAAAATAGCACAAATTCCTTGCTTTTCAGGCCAAAAGGATGCTGATGAAATAGCATCTGAGAGGTTATCCAGTATAGTGGTGACTGAAGCTAAGAAGAGGCAGGAGATATGAAATAGAGACAATTATTATAACTAGCTACTCTGTCTGAAAATAAGCTGTATTTACATATTCATAAATACAACTAGCTGTGCAACAGAATGTTATCAACATGGGTTTACTGATAAGAAATTATAGGTCCTTTAAAAAGGGAAAAAAAACCTAACTTGGAAATGAGATTTTGAAAATATATTTAAATATTTAAGGTGGGTTAATTTAAATTAACTCTTTATTTACTTCTATGAAACAAATATAATCATAAAAGCCCAGAATGATTTGGATTGGAAGGGACCTTAAATATCATCTCATTCCAAACCTCCTGTCATGGTCAGGGACACCTTCCACTTAAAAGTCCCATCCAACCTGGCCTTGAACCCTTCCAGGAAGAGGACATACAAAACTTCTCTGTGAAACCTATGCCAGTGCCTCACCACCCTCACTAAGCTCAATAGACTAGATAAATAGAATATACGTTGATATCAATGTTTATATTTCACTTATTTCAAAGGATAAACAACTGTAAATGTACAATTTCTTTCTCTCTTTGACCAAGAACTTTAAAAATCCCAGATTTCTCCTTTGACTCTGTTTCTGAGAGTTGGAGTCTCTGTTTAAACTATTCCTAGGCAACGTTACCAGTGTTTTACTCCTGTGAATCATGTTTACATCCCTTTCATTTTCTCTAAGAGATATATTCCACTAACAGGCATCTGTCATTGAATTCCAGTGCTTGCATGTATCGAGCCCTGAGCCTTAGTGATTAATAATAAGAAAAGGTTGAGGGTAGAGTATGAAGAGCGTGAATTTGTTTTGGAACAAAAGTGAATTTAAGTTGTTGTTTTAGTACATCGGGTGGTTTTTTCTGTTTTTTTTTTGTGGAGTTTTTTGTGGGTAGTATTTTTTGTTTTGGTTTGGAGTTTCTTTGGTTGTTTTGGTTTTAGTTTTCTGTTTGTCTTTCTTTTTTGTTTGGTTTGGTTTGGGTTGGGTTTCTTTGGTGTTTTTTTTTGTTTGTTTTTCTTTTTGAGACCTGAATTCTCTGTTATTTATGGAATCCTGGTTATATAAAGGGCATATGAAATTTTAATGAATCAGACTTTCAAAAACAGAAAAAAAAATCCCAAACAAATGGAAACCAGACCCTTTCCATGTTATCACAGATACAGGCATATTCATTATTTAGCAGCAAATAGTGCAACCCAGACATTGAGTCACCACATTAGGATGGAGATGAAGTGGCTACTCCACCATCAAAGTGCAACTAGTGCCTTATTATAAATTTAATTCCAATCACTCCTTCCACCCCTTTTCCCCAAACACATATAGGAAATGACTTACAGACAGTTAGCCTTTAATTTTAAAACTATTTTAAAAGTTTTGGTGCTGGGAAGGTTTTATTTATCTTTCCAACATTGAATTTTATCAAAGTTCACTTGGAGATGTACCAGAGGACTCTGAGCCATTTTCCCCTTTAGGAATGAGGTCTCCTTATGTTTATGGAGAAAATGCCAAGAATCAAAAATGACCCAATCCTAAGTCAGCATAAATGGATCACATTTAGGTGTCTGCAAGAGAAAAAAACAGTGACCTGGAATCTTTTCAAGAAAAGGGGCTGAATTTGTCTTCGTTTCCCATGGACAAACCAATCTTTAGAAAATTCTGAAATTACTGTCTACTGCCAAGCCTCCAAAACTTTGGGATAAAAGGATTTGTTCTGAGAGAGATGATATCTTCATATTTGTTACCTTGAAAAACTATTATTCTTTAATAATTTTTTTGTCTTTTGAAACCATGTAAAATTTAACATTCATAAACCCCTCACATGCATATTACGTAAAGAAAAATCCTTGATGTTGTATTACATTAAATAGAACTAAAAAATTAATTTAAGATGTGATAAGTTGGAAAAAACTATGAGGAATTATCTTCTCTTTGCCTTCTCAATGCCTTCCATGGTTATGATTTGTCTGTCTTGCATGTACTGGCATTGCAGCAGCAACTTACTTATTCTGACCAACATATGCAAGCTCAGCTGCCTATAATAATAAAGCTTAATTTCCAGTTTATCATTCAGGCAATAAAAAAAAAATATTTTCTTTGAC